TAGAGAGCATAGATGGTACTGAGTCAGAACCTAGTACCTCAGTGCTGTTCTCTGGCTGACAGCAAGCAGCTGCGCAGGCACCTGCTTTAAGGAAGGGCACTTCTCTGGGCCCTGAGATGTGGTCTGATCCAGATCTGTGGGAAATCTGCCGTCTAGACACTGACTCTTGGAGGGGCTGGGAGTAGCCCTATATCATGGAGAGGACCAGGCGCAACCCTGTGTAGAGGACCAAGTGCAAATCTGTGTAGTGATGGCAGGTTCCTGCCTCCCAGCCAGCTCGTTCAGGTACATCATCACTGCCTTTAGTATTAGTTAATTAAATAGAAGTTCCTTGGAAAACTGAAACTCTAGAATAGTTTTTTTTAATGGCTTATATAATGAAAGAGTTGCATCCAGTTTTTCCTCTGGACAACAAGTAAAACCACTTAATAATAAATTGAAGTTGTAAAAGAAAAATATAGGGAGTCTTGAAGGGTATTTTAATCTGCTTTCAAGGAAAGATGGAGAAAAACTGTTTTTCTAACTCTTACACGAGCTTCCCCTAATCCTCAGTGCCTTACAGGCACATCAATAGTAGATGCAAGATAAGTCCTTTCTGAATAATGAAAAAGTATATGTTAATCCACATTTGAAGAGAATCCCAAGGGATACCAGCAGCACAGGCGAAAGCATTTATTTGCTGTTTAGATATTCTTGCAGAAAATTCCTTCTTCAGTCTCCACTTCAGTTGCGATGGGTGATGTGGCCAGGGGTGACATGACTGCAGCATGGGCTGCAGGGGGCAGTTGCACCTGGCCTTGGGTTGCACTGGGAGGGACTTGGAAAGAGGAAGGAGAAGAGCTTTTCTGGAGAGCTGGGCTGGTTTACTGGGCTGAGGTAGGCTAAGCTGCAATCACTAATAACCATCAAAACACAGTGGCTTGACAGAAAAAGTTTATTCCCTGCTCTTCTCACACTCCAGTGCAAATCAGGAAGCCTGCCTCTCCCACAGCCCCTTGCACGGATCTTGCAGCTTCCAAGGCTGCAGCCCACGGCAAAAGAGCCAGAGAATTGCATGGAGTATTTTTCAGTCAGGCCTGACACTGGTTTATGTCCCATTGATACAGCCCCTCTTACACGGCCCCAGAACTAAGGATGCTGAGAAATGAAATTTTGCTGTGTGCAAAGCAGGAAGGTTGGTGAGCACGTAGCCCTGTGTCTGCCATGGGGTCGGATGGGAAAGTGGAACAGCAAAGGAGTAGGGCACAGGGAGAAGCTACACGTCAGCAAATGCAGGGATACCCACCAGCTTCCCCTGGGGCCTGGAGTCTGAGACGCGTGACATCTGGCAACCTCTCCTATGTTGAGGCACACCATGTGTTATACTAAGCTAAACGGAAAGACTGCACTAAATGCAACTCAGTCAGCTGTGGCATCCTGGGATCTAAGGAGCATCACTTTTTTCCATAGGTGAGGCTGAAGATATAGTGGAACCGAGGAGCCCACAACAATGGGTGAGCAGTTTATGTCCTCTGGAAACCATGTTTCTGGTAGGACACCAGCTGGAGTCCCCTGAGCGGCCCGGACTTCCACCTCCACACACCCGCTAAAAACCAGACCAGAGGAGACTGGGAACAGAGTCCCTGTCCAAACTGGATTCATGACCTGTGACGGGAAGGGAGGACTTTTACAGCTCATCCTATCTACCACTTTCAGAGTGGGTTGAAATCTGTCAGATCCGGGTCCTAGCAGAAAAACACAACTCCGTAAGGCTCTTGCAGCCTGGTGGCGGTCCCACCCCACCCCGCTCCCACCCAGACTTTACCATTGTCTGAGACTCCACATTAGCGGGGCAGGGGAGACTGTGGCGGGTTCCGACATAGGTCGTCAGACTTCCACGTAGCCCAGGGAGCACCTGCTCCGGGGGTGACACCTGCAAGTGCTCCTGGTTATCTAAGAGGGAGCAACAGCAAAGTCTGTGCATCAAAATCTAATTTAATTCATTTCACATCAGTGTTTTCATGAGCAAGAGGGCTTTTCCTTAGGAGGAGTCTCAGCCCAGAAGCCAGGGCCCTTATCCTGCCCGGTATTTCTCTCTGCCCTTTAGCATTAAGGAATGGGCACCCTGTGCTCTGAGCTGACCAGCACTGCTCTGCCCCTTGTCGCTTGGGGGAGGTGGCGCATCAGTCGTCAGCCTTGAACCATGACTACCCGCCACACCGAACGGGGATGAGAACAGAGGCATCACCAGGTCCAACAGTGAACACTGAAGTAGTACGGAATGCCCTGCTGCCGTCCTCCTCTGAATTCGCTCAGACACACTTTCGTGCGTGCGTGAAAGGATCAAAATAGGGCAGGGGTGACAGAGAGCAACATGGGGCAGGGGTTGGGACAGGTCCTGCAGCATTTCTGTAACAGCTGCACTGCCTGTAAGTACACTTTCGCTGAGGCAAATAGGTTAAAACCGGCACTTGCTCCCACTTTCTATCTCCCGGGGCTCCCTCCCCTGGTTCTAGTCCAGCTTTCTCTAGGTCCCTGGTGGGGTGGCCATCCATCTACAGGCAGCTGCGCCTGTCTGGGAGCTGGTATACCCAGACGCTGCCAATGCACGTCCCTCCCTCTCTGCCTCATGGTCCCTGCCTTGGTCACCCTAGAACTGTGTAAGTCTATGAGTCACCAGCCAGACTGAACTTCTGAACACCTGCCAGGTGAGGGTCAAGCCACTTCTCTGAAGAACAGATGGGACCAGAGGGCAAGACCCCTGAGAACTGGAGGTGCCCCAAGGGTGGGGTGCTACTCGGCCTCACCTTAAGGCACGCTGCCCTCACTTGCACCCTCTTGATTACGCACTGCCCTCCTGTCCCCAGGAGCACAGCCTGCCAGGACAAGGTCTTCCTGGGAGAACTAAGCTCAGCAGCACTCAGACTCTTCTTTCGCACAGCATCACAAGCATTGAAATGGGGGTGTCTGGAGACCATGAGATGGGTGCCTTACCACGGCACGGTGCTGCTGCCCCAGAGCCAGCAGGGGGCCCCGTGTCCATGTGAGAATGCTGCTGCCACCCTGGAGAGATGCTGATCACAAAATGAACGCTGGTCTTGGGCATCTGATCTCCCAGAGAGAGCCCCGGGGCCAACCCTGACCAGACCTCTGCTCCGAGGGCCACAGAGCATTTCATCTGTGAAAAGAGGGCAGGAACTGTCACGGCTTTGCATTGAGCATAATCTTCCTGGCCGTGGGGATATCTGACAGCCCCAACTCTACTTCCCACGGAGGCAACGTTGTCGTCTGCCTCTAGCCAAATTAGATTTTCAGCAGCTGCTCCAAGTCCTCTTTCTCTTTGGACAGCACAGAGAATAGCCAGAACTTGTTTTCTGTGAAGGAAAGTTGCTGTTAGAACTTTTCCAAGCCTCTGAGAAAAAAGAGAGAGGTCACAGGAGTGCTAGGGTGAGCAGGGAAGCTGGCCTTTGACCCAAGGATTCCTGCCCTGCTGTTGGGTAGCCTGGTGCTTTCGGCTCACACCAATCACCAGAGCTCAGAGGTCCAGCATTTCAGCTTGAGGCTTGCAGGCCTGGGTACCACGTCAGGCCGGTACCTGTCATCAAAACAAACATCTCCCCCCACGGCCAGACTGACTTACAGGCTTCAAGATAGCTTCAGGTGTCCTGTGTACAGCAGAGGGAAGTGGCTCTGGAGACTTCAGTGTGTTTTGATGGCTGCCTGTGAACCGCAATCCGCCACCACGTCAGGTCATTCCGCAGGTCTACAATCAGTTGTTTTCCTCCTTACAAATCGTTCCAAAGGCAAAAGGTATTTTGTTTTAACCCCTTCCAAACCCCTTCTGTGAGGGTTTCAAGCAGCCAGCACCGGTAGCCAGGACCCTCGGTGTGTCCCCTGTGCTGGGCATCCCGGGCCAGGACCTGCAGTGTGTTCTGGATACCTGCGGCTGGGGCCTGCTTGGTGGTGTGTCCTTCCTCCTTTGCTGCTTTTCCCTGAGCACTCTCTTGAGGATGGCAGATTGAGGATGAAGAAGGGTCAGTGCCAGGCTAGGTTATCAAATTCATGACAATTCAGGGGAAAAAAAATGGCCTCGGGGGGGAGGTTTGTGACTGCCCATCCAAGATGACTCCACACTATCATAGTGATCCGGGATAAACGCACTTTCCATCACTGGGAGTTAGGGCTCGTGACACTTACACTAACTGGAAACAGCAGCCCTGGAGAGTCCTTTTGTATCACGTTCACCATCGGGACCATCCTGCATAATTCCAGCAATTATGTGCATTGAAAGTACCATTGTGAATGTAGTTAGAGCTAAAACACAGGCGGGGGAAAAAACCTTTCACTTTATTGCTTCATTTCAAAGATTTGCAAATTTTGACCAAACAATAGTTAATAAGATGCTGCTTTAAACAAACTATTTTTAAAACATTAAATCAGTATATTTTAGAGTGCATTTAATGTGCTATCATTTTAGAAAAGCAATTCCAGTCTGTTTTATAATATCTGTGGCAACAAATGCATGGATATAACAGACACTGTATTTGTCTCTCTTAACGTATACTCCCTGTGCCTGCCAATCCTCCGGTGATGGAACAGGTATCTTGGGGTTTTTTGTTGTTGTTTTTTTTTTTGAGACAGGGTCTTGCTATGCTCCAGGCTGGTCTTGAACTTGTGATCCATCTGCTTCAGTCTCCCAAGTGCTGGGATTACAGGTGTGCACCCACATGCCTGGCTAGCATCTTGTACTTTGATATGCATACGGAGTAACAGTTTGTCTGTTCTAGGCAATTGTCTTGACCACCTGGGTTAAGGACCTTCCCACCAGGAAAAACAGCTGTCCAAGCCTTCTTCCTGTTTCCCTTACTCCCCAGCCTGTATCCTTAGTTCATAGTTTGTAAACATCGTCGTGAAGGGGTTTGGTGCTTTACACAGTCGAAAAGGACGGACAAAAGTAACTGTATTTCAGTGACCAAAGCAAGCCCACTTCCTTGCTTGGAAAATGGCAGAACGATTGCTTCTCAGTACATTAAATCTGAAGCTACATTTGTTGTCTCTGAATCTTTAGATTTTGAAAAAGGGAAGTGAAATCCAGCAAGTCGTATTAGGAGCCCATTCAGAAAATGAACAAAAAAGCAAATGAAAATGACCCAGAAGGAGGTGGTGTACTTTTCATTTTGCGTTTTGTATGCGTAAGTCCCTTCTTTATAATTAGCAATTTTTTCTGAGAGGTGATGGATTTTCACTTCAGAGGCAAACAAAGCCATGACAAGACAGCCGCAGGAGCCTACAACAGAAGGAATAAACAATATGTTGAGGCAAGTACCTCTTGACTGTAGGGGACAGGAAAGAGGGCTGATGAACAAAACAAAGACAAACTTCTACCATAGCCCCCATTTACACTCTTCTGCAAAAATTTATTATTGTAGTTAAGCTGGGTGTGGTGGTGTGCAATTGTAATCCCAGCACTTGGGAAGCTGAGGCAGGAGGATCACCATAAGTTTGAGGCCAGCCTGGCCTATATAGTGAGCTCAGGGCCATCCTGAACTATATGACCTTGTCTCAAGAGCCCCTCCTAAAATATTACTGCAAATGTGTCATCATGAGCCTGATTTCTATGAGTTGTAGTGCTTGGGTTATATAGCTGATCTTACAAAGACTGGAGGTTGAATTGCTGGGCTCCTTAAAAACACAAGAGCAGAAGCAGACTGCAAAGCAGCCACTTCTGTGATACGGCTTTAAGAGAGCAAATTTCTCTGTGCTTCACAGGTGATGCAGGATAAATGTCAGTCACAGAGTCCCTTGTTAGCAGCTCGGCCCTTTCTTTAGAAGGATCACCACAGCCCCTCCAGCTCCCAGCTGGCCACAGATGTCCTGGGCTAAGGTGCTGAGGCAGAGCATAGCTGTTTTCCTCGTTTGTTACTGAGTTCAGATTTTTAGCTGGGCACGTGGCTCCCTTGAATAGAAACATTATTCAGCTGGGATTTGGACCGGGTGGTCTCAGAAATGGACACCATGTACCATGGGAAAACAAGAAAGAAAAATCTGAATCCCAGACACCTGGAGCCACCAGAGTTGCTTTGAACTTTAATTCTAGATTTCCAAGTTGAGAAGAACAAACATTTATTTTTTTAACCCACTATTATTATTTTTCTCCATCATTTATCACTCATCATTAGCCTGACCTAATCTTAACAGTGTATCTACCGTCTTGGTGAGACCTCTCCAGGACAGGGGTGCTCCATACCATACAGAACCGGGAAACCTGATGGGCCATCTCCCCTAAGGATGAAGGCTGAGAGATCCCCGGTGGGTGGAGGCTGCTGGGCAAGAAGCAGGTGGCAAGAGGGACCGGAGCGGGAACAGATGAATGACCTGGACTCCACGGAGCTTCCGCTGCTACTATTGTATCCCAGGCTGCCTCAGTGGGCTTTCAGTTAGTAGGAGACTGGCTGAAATAGTTTCCTGACTTTGATCAAAGCAATATGGATTCAATACTAATAGTGGCCCTAATACCTTCCCTGACTATGTGCATTAGGCTGTTTGAATACCCAAATCTTATTTTTCTAGTCTAAAAAGGTGTTAATGCCAACAACGCATGATTAGCATTTGACATTAGACTTGACATGTACAAATACTAATGGTTTTAGTGTTATAGCTATCGCTGTGCCATAGCTGTTGCTATGGTTTGTATGTACTCCTTTTTGCTGGGAAGTTTTTTTTTTTAATCATAATTCATTACCACACCCCAGGAAAACCTGATTACATTAGTGTAGGCAACCACCAAAAATGTATTATGGTGCTTATTTCTTCAAATACTCTCCCATTAAGTTTATAACTCCTTTAGGAGGGCTAAATGCTCTTTATTCTTAAATTACAGTTAATTCAAATATCCTGGGAGTAGCAATATAGTGGCTTCAATTCTCATTCATTAATTCACTCACTCAGTTTTTCAATTAGACAGGTTATGTGCCAAGCACAGGGACTGTGGTGGAGATTGAAACATTACAGAAAATATACATGGTTTTTGCTCTCACAGAGAGTATGATCTAGCAGAAATGCAAAACAATTACAAACCAATTACAGTGAGCGTAACAGTGGGATGTGGTTACTGAGAAGGTGGTGGGCAGCATGTCGAAGGCCTCTGAGGAGTAGGGGGAAGGAACTCTAGGAAACTGAGCAAAGGGAGGCTGGCCTGTGTGGAAAAACATTCCAGGCAGGGGAGCTACTGTGCAAGTTACAGCGGACCCCATACCTCCCCCAAGGGCAGAGTTTGGACTGAGGTACAGTCTGACCTTCGGCAGGGGAGAGAGGCAGGTGCGAGCAGAAAAGGTGACCTCACATTTCTTCTGCTTTAGAGTTTCACACAGGACTCACCTACCAGCCTGGTCACCATCATGAAACCCCCAAATAATCAAATGATATAATGTTCTTGAGACTTCACTTCCTGCCAGCCTCGGTGCGATAGTTGAGAATATCCTTTTGTAAGATTTGTCAGCCTATTTTTGTATTCTGAGCTTCAGACCATAGCTCTCCCCTAGCAAAACCATATTATTCCTTTATTGTTAGATCCTAACAAAAAGGCTGCAGTGCTGTTTTCTCTTTATCTTTTATTTGAAAATCGTGGAGAAAATGCCATTGCTTTTACCATAAGAGCTTTCTTTGTCTGTGGAGATGGTGAATTTCAGACAGAAGTGAAACACTATTTCCTTAGTGCCTGAAAGGAAAATTCAAGCTCGGTTTCCTTTGCAAGTTGTTAAATATTTTAAAGGCACTACTTTGTTAAGGAGAGAGCATCACATTGAGCCTGCATTTCAAATTCCTAAAGTAAAAGTCACTTGGGATGTCTGGAGACTCAGAGCCTTTGCCATGCCTAAGATATCAAGCATCGGGCACCGAAGACAGCTTGTGGTGTAGTCACAGAGAGGGCGGTCTGAGAATGTGCTCTGGATTCCGGGGTTGACTGTGAGGTAAACTCGATCACCTCAGAGTCAGAGGATGAAACCTAGTCTGAGTCCCTGACATTTCCACGGCTGCTAAAACATGTGAAGGGCAACAACTCAGTGTGAATTTGGGATATTTTTTGCTTCTTTCTGTCTATGGTCATAAAAGAGATGTCAGATCAAGGATAACTATTTATGACTTACAGACCAAAAGATGTGCGCGAAGACCTCTGTGTGGTCTGGCTGCTGGGATGCAGACAGGGGATGTAAGGGAGGTGAGTGCTGATAGGAACAGGACTCTTACATTTGCACTGGGACCCTCAGACCCCACCAAGGGGCTCCTGCGTTGGGTCCCCAGTTCAGAGGACCTACTCTTTTCCTTTTTAAAGGGGTGCCCCCCGACAGGTGTGAGGAATCCTCGAAGTCATCGTATTCCTAGGGTACTGGAATTCTCTCCCTAAACAGCCTTGAGCCCATTTCCAGGGCTTGCATGGGTGGCTTCTCTGACGGAATCAGTGGCTGGTGTTGCACAGGTAGGAAAACTGAGGGTGGGCAAGAAACTGCCATTGCAGGGGGCGTGGCCAGGCTCAGACACAGAGTGCCACGTTCACACATACCCCTCGAGGCCCCGTACTGAGCATCACGCCGCCCGGCAGAAGAGGAGGAGGCAGATCAGGGACCGGCTGTGCTCCTGTCACCACATGCATGGGCAGCGTCCCCACCGGTCCAGAAGTCTACATTTGACTCTGGCCTTCCAGACTGCTGGAGGGATGTGTCTCAAAGTAAAAGGATAGAATATATTCTATTTAAAGGTTTTATTAGCTTAGAACTTTTAAACGTTTAGACACACCTCATGGGGGATTTCATTTATGTTCTTGCCCCGTGTCTGAAGCACGGGCCAGGGCTCCATGCCTCTGCTCTTTTCCCATTACCATGTGCACCAAGAGACCAAGCGAGCAGGGGCCGCCGGCACCAGTTCTCACATTGTCTGTACATCTGACCGGTGCTGCTCGGCTCACAGGAAAGTTAGAATAAGCTAGGACTTTGGAAAGCCTGCTGAGCCTTGCTCAAGCTAGAATTTGGAATATAACCAGGCACAAGTCCACGTTTTGCTACCCAGAGTCGTACTCAATGACCTGCAGCCGTTTTCCTTTCATCTGTCTGATTCCCCTGCCATCTGGCTGGTGCTATAGTTGTTCCTCTCCACCCACCCCCGCTTTAATGACTTTGATTACTGAGTTAATTTCTGACTGAATAGGATAGCTGAGTTATGGGGTTGTCACACCATGAATGATCAGTCAATTAACAAACATTTGTAATGTGCTAGGCACTGCACGCTCACGACTCGCTGGGAGCTGCCGGGACTGCAGAATGCGGCGCCTGTCCCTTCTCGTCCTTACAGCAGGCGACACAGGTCACAGCAACAAGGGAGTTGCCTCTTTATCCCTGCACTGCTCTGAGTGTAGCTAGGTTTTTTGTTTTTGTTTTTATTTTTAGTACTAGGGATTGAACCCAGGGAATGTTGAACCCATCCTTTTTTAATTATCTGTTATGTTGAGTCAGGGTCTGACTGAGTTGTTAAGGCTAGGTTCCAACTTGAGGCCTCGGCCTCCCGAGAAGCTGGAATTACAGGCATGTGCCCCTGCCCTGGTGATAACTGTGCTTTCCTGGGTGGGAGCAGCCTGCCAGGATCCACGGGAGTCCAGGAGAACTGTGGGTTTAGTCTCACAGGGGAAGACATCTCTGAAATATTATCCTGCTGTTACTAAACTAATATTTTGGGAAATAATAAATTAGAATTTCAATATTTTAAAGGTAATGAGCAATATTTCCAGAATGAGAACACATCTTTCAACTCTCTTTTTGGTGGTAAATATTAGAGGTCTTCCATTTCTGATACAGGATGACAAATTATCTCCGCCTTTAAGGAGCCTTGAGAAATGATAAATAAGGGTGGGAAGCCACAACCTTTCAGGTGTAGGTGCCCATTTTCTGTGAAACTGGGCACTCTCGCTGGAAGGTACCTGGAGATGAGGTCACCAACAATGATCTCTTCCCCAGGCGGAAACTGCCTCAACTCCACACGACCTCAGCAAAGGAAGGAAGCAGAGAGGCTACTAGGGTGAGTTAATACTGAAGAGTGACTTTCAGGTCTTGCTGGGGAGCAGTTTCTTTTTTTTTTTCCAGTACCAGGAATTGAACTCACGACCTTGCGCTTGCTGGGCAGGCGCTATGCCACTGAGCTAAATCCCCAGCCCCTGCAGTTTCTTCATGCGTTTCCACAGAACAGAGGTAGAGAGAAATCATACCGGTGAGTTAATCTTTCCTCCTTCCTTTCCGTAAT